GGTCTTTTTCAAAATAACTCTTATAAAAACCCCAAAACCCCAAAACCCCTAGTCTCAATATTTTCAACTAATATTGGTTAATGAGAAGATCTTAATAATTAAAGTCCTCCAGATAGAAATAAATAAAGTGAAGTTCGTTTTTAAATCTAACTAAGTGAAAGATAATTCATTCACATTCAGTGTTAATATAATTACTCACTTTGTTAAGTCACTGCCTTCTGGCTTCTTTCTCTACAGAAGTGTGTTTCTCTTGTCAGACATCAACCCCATCACTTTGTTTGAAAGGTTATTCTGCATAGTTCTCTTGATGAGCATTGTCATTCTTGGATTGGTCTGAGTCTGGTTCCCACTTCCAAACATACCTCCCAACACACTGTCGGTTTCTAATCTTGACGAGGCAATATCATTGTCCATTCTCTGATTTTGAAGCTTTTCTATGTTGTTGAGGATCTGATTGGTTCTGAAATCCTGCATCTCCTGCCATATTTACTATGCTTCAGTATGTCTACTGATCTTCTTGACATCCTTGTTAATGTGACTCATCTTATTGAGCATGTTTTTCTTAACTTGCTCAATTCTATTTATAACTATTTTCCATTCATCACTGTCATCTTCCATCTCGTTTTCTAAGTCAGTCACAATCATAAGATTTCTGTTCTTCTCAGCATAACTCTGCTTGATCCTATCTGGAATCAAATAAGAATTCTCAGCAATCATGGAAGCCATTTCCTAGTAGGCAGCATTTGAAGCGTTTTCCTTCACCATTGAGAAGGTTTCAGAAATAATGGCAATCAAAAGGTTGAGCATGACAATGGTGTTGAACACTGTGCACATAATGAACAAAGCATAAACTAATTCTGTTCCGCAGCCATGGAAATCTTTGACATCAAAGTCTCCTAAGATGATTCTGTAGGTGTAGATAATGGAATCACCGAATCCGTGCACAAATCTTTCTCCCTCTTTATTTCCATTGCTGAGAGTAAGAAGAGAGTCAGAGAAGGCAATAATAGTGAAAAACATCACAAACAGGAAGGTCTTCATGTCGTTGATAACGATGATGATGAGTCTAGTCAAATATCCGAAGTTCTTGAAGATACGGAAGAAGTACAAGAACTTGAACCACATGAAGAACACTCCGATAGCCTGCAGCACTCTCTCTGATTCATCGTCCATGTGAATGTTGAAAGCATTTATACATACCACAGTCATGATAGTAGAAGGTGTGACAATATCTATGTAATTCCAAATAGAAGAGAAATAGTTTAGCCCTTCAGTCCTCATCTGGAACAACTCGTTTTGCAAGAAGTAGCATGAGAACAGTCCTAGCAGAATCTGCATTGGGAAATCGATCTTCTCAATAAGCGCACCAGGCTGTTTGAAAATAACGTTCAAATAGACAAACAGTGTGACTTGGAACATAACGAATGGAACAAACAACCTCTTGATTGTCCAGCTCTTTACAAGCGGGTAATTGAATTCTATCATCTTCTGAATGCCCTTTCTGGCGAATACATCGTACTAATCAGTGTCTGCGAGCTAGCCGAAGAATTCGTCGCAGATTGGGTCATCGTAGTGATATACATTTGGCAAATCCACAAATTGCACTCTGATTGGTCTCTCCACCATACTTTCATCTCCTTCTTTCCTCGTTTCCATTAGTTTTTTCTCTACGTCATCATAGTTAAACCAGATCTTGCTTTCACAAATGCCTAGTGAATTTTTCTTTAAGCAACCTTTAGTTATCTTTTCAAGTCTTCTGGTCTAAACTAATCTTGAATCTAGATAAGGAAGTAAACTTGGAAGTTATTTTTCAATAATTATTGGCATTAGTTCTATTAAGGCTCTTGAATGATGGTCTATACCATAGCCAGCTAAGTAAGTCAGCATAGTATCCATTGTTCTGATATCCTACTGCTTCTTGCATATATGCAGAGGAGATTCACCGTTTAGATTCTGCAAGAATGGTACATGAATGTGGATTTCCTTCACATTTTCTTCATTAGGGTGTGCTAGGTGGAATAATTTCTTGATAACATCTCCATTAGCTGAAAGTTTGTGCAAGATTGTGTTGCCCTGTGGCAGGATATTATACAGCAGTAGTTCAATTTGGCTGTTATCAACCAGTTCAATCTGAAGAGCTTTCTTTTCAAGTTGCTCCATCATCTTCCAATGCAAGAATGTGAAACTCATATCAGCTACATGCATTCCTTTGCAATGATCAACCTGGTAGTCGACGGTGAACACGTCTGGGTAAAGACCGTATGCATCTTGCTTGTGTTCTAAATAGTAACCTGACTTGTAAGCCTGATATTTCCTGATTAGCCTTTCTTTGACTTGCCACACTGAGAGTTGAGACTTGTTTGTATAGTAATGTCTGAGTGGACTCTTGATTTCATGATTGTCGAATAGTGGAATGACATTATACTCTATCTCAATGAGTTCCATGCCTCTTAAGTAAACTATCTTTTCTATGCCCTCGTGATTGATGATCTTTATGGTCTCGTCGTCCACCCATTTGAATCTATTCATGATTTCGCTTGCTGGTTCTAAATTCAAGTCCATTAAGTCCTTTGGAACTGTGCAAATGACTCTGTTTGAAAACGTATCTCTAATTACAAATAAGTTATCTTTTCTGTTGACATCCACCAAGTTTTAGAACGAAGGACTCAGAGCTCTTAGGAATCCTGAATCATTTTCGAGTTCTTCTGGATACTTTGAGAATCTTCTAATGCATCGCCACTTAATGGTTCTTCTCATTCTATTTTCCTCTTTCTCGTATAGGAATACTCTTGGATGACCCAGTTTCTCTAGCATATATTAGTTTTTACTGTCAAAGTAAATTCTTTGCTTATCGTTGAAGTAAAATGGATGAATAAAGACAAGATGCTCCTTGACCTCGATATCACTAACTATTTCAATCAGTCTATATTCCCTGAATTCCTTCTTTTAGATCTAGGCATAAGATACTTGATTATGAGCAGAGGCTATGACTCCCTCATTTTTATAGAAAGAGTTTTCATCAAAGTCAATTTCTCTATCATTTTTGACTAGCAAGATTTTCTACATCCATTCTCTGTGATAAGCTGATCCATATGGATCGTCCTTTGGTGAACTGAATATGCTAAATCTAGAGTAGTCTTAACGAGTTGGTAATCTATGAACAGAGTTGAGTTTGCCAGTTGTAATATTCCAGCACAGAAGTTAGTTCTTGTTGTCAAGAGCAATAAACTTGTCCTTGATTACCTTGGTAGCAAGATATGTCTGACGCTTGCTCATACCAATGAATGCGATAGTGTTTCTGTGAAGAGCAGGCAAGATGGTCAAGCAATCAAGAGATTTCAAAATACTGAATCTTGAATAGTCTTGATTCCAATCTATTACTCCAGCAAAGCCAACTTAGACGTTTTGAAGAAGGTAACTGACATCTGTATCTTTAGATAGGATATTGTTAATATCATAAAGTCTAAGACCAGAGCTTTTATCTCCGCTAGAATGACTCAAAGTGTAGCAAAATTTGTTATCAACGACAAAGAGACCGACACAATTTTAGTCTTTGTAGGTCTTGCTCTATTTTTAAACTATATTATAGAGGTAGATATGTCTTTCATCAACAAAGAAGATGTGATCTTGAATGTTAGTAGTCATACTAGAGTGAAAACTTCCAGCAACATTTCTGATAGTATCTTGGAGGATACATTAAGCTATTACTGTATCTTTGACCTCATTACCTAGAGGAGTAAGTTCTTCAAAATCCGTTGTTGGTGGCTTGCCAATAGTAAGATGATACACCATCACTTAAGAATGCTTTTATAGAACTAGATAGGCTTCTTCAGAAGGTGAGAAAACATGTACGAAACTTGTAAAAACTAAAGCTTCATTAACTAATAGATATGCTTACTATCAATGGGGTCCTCAATGCCTTCCTTGATTTCATAGATTTCATCATAATGCATGACAAAAAGCCTCACAAGATAGCTTGGCTCTTCTCCAACCTTTTGCATTTCTTGTTTCATCATAATATAGCACCACTCGTTTCTCTACTGATCCTCAGCAACTTTTATCAGTTCCCCTTAAATTAGGTCATTTTGATATTTAAAGTTGGAGTCAATGTTTAGAATGGACTAAACATATTACAAAGGTTGAACACTACTCTGAGTCGTTGCATCTTATGTTTGCTTTAGTTTCTCCTCAGAGAAAATAAGACTTTAAATATTCATGTATATTGAACCGTTCATCAGGATTGCTGCGAGTTCAAGTTTTTCTTGCTCATCTCTTGGAGATGTTTCTTTGCCTTTGCGAAGAGTCATCTTTTTAACAAGTTTGCAAATATCTCCTTCCAAAAATTTAGCATGCTTCAGCCAAACAGCTCTTCTAATATCATAAAGTGAAATGAATGGGCCGTGTACTACATAGAGAGTTGTTCTGATAAGTGAGAAACTTCCAAAAAGATGAACTATAATATTAAGATGAATAACAATAATAATTTGGATATGAAGGCTTCTATTATTTTATTTATTTCTTACCATGATTTTTTATGTTCTGATAGAAAATAATAGAAAATTCAAAATCTTCACTTTCTACATCAGATTGCTCAAATGTAATCGAAGGACCAGTGCAGGCAATACCACGTATTGAATTATCTGTTTTCATGTGCATGTAAATTTCATCAAAACTCAAAGATACGTCCTTGGCAAGGTCTAGTAAATAAGATTTAATTCGAGAATTTATAGTACCCTCTGGGGGAGAGTCTACAAGCGTCATATCCCAGTAAAGATCGCAATGGCCTGATTGTCTTAGAGAAATTCCATAGAAAGTATTCTTAGAATCGATGATGAATTAGAATTTCTGAATAGGATCTATCTTCACATCTCTTCCCACTAACTCCCTTTATTGTCGGAGTTAATATTTGAAACTTGGAGTTCCGATGTTCATGTTAAAGACTTGAGAAAAGTCCAGTTGGTTATCTGACGTTTCCAGAGCTACAACTACAATATGACTCTTGAAAAATGGAGTGCGTTAGACATGATAATTGAAGAGTCCATGAATATTTAGTCCTGGCACGATCCGCTGAACATTCTCAGTCCTGTTGGAAAGATCGATTCTCTTGACTTCTCCGTGTTCAATAGAGTGTTTTGAATTTATAAGAAATATTGTAGATTTGTTTGCAATGTATAAGACCTCGTGAGAATAAGCGATGAAGCCGCCTAAAAATTAGAATAAATATCTTAAATTTTTGCGAAAAACTTACATGTTGGATCATTTATGCAGTCCTTGATCAAAAGAGTTGAATTTCCGTTCTTAAGATTCACCAAATGGTAACAGTCAAAGTCATCGTCGCCTATCTGAGGCTTGTAAATCAGGAACTCATGGCTTACAGCCCAAGTCTTTATCGGATCTTATAATAACAATCAAACGGAAATAGGTATCTTTACTTTTGAGGGGTCGCTGGTAAACTTTTTAGCCCTGTCTATCCCAAACTTACAATAAGTACTCAGCTCCATACTCTTTCTTCAGCAGAGTATGGTTTATTTGAACAAGAACTGGACAGAATTCCATTTAAGCATTCAAATAGCATGATCCAATTACTTTGTACAATTCTATAAATTAAGGTAGTAGGTATTGGATATCAATTTTAATAATTACCCGTTAAATTAACCTAGTATGATATTTCTCTGAGGAAGGTTGATGAGTTGCAAGTGTTGCCGGAGAGATAGTCTTGGTAGTAGAAGGATGGTTGAGATTGGCTGCCTATAAATGAAGCTTAAAATCAAGAAAGTAAGTGCTTTTATTACTTTATAGATTCTTCTTAATATTTAGGTTACTATACATATTTATTAGATTTAAATATATTTCTTCAACCTTATATCCTAATCTCAGATTCAATTTAATAATGGTGGGGTTTTGGGGTTTTGGGGTTTTGGGG